AGGGGTGCCCTGCTGTCTCAGTTGGTAGATCATGTGACTCCTGATCTCAGGGTCATGAGTTCAAGCCCCCATATCAGGTGTAGAGATTACTCTTAAAAAATGCCAAACTAAAAAAAATAAAAAATAAAAATGCCAAACAATTTTATTCAAAATCTAAAGCATTTTTAGTGTTGATGATTTAAACAAAAACCTTTCAAAACACTGTTGGGGGTAGACAAAACATTGCTATACGCCAAGGCCAGCTGCAGGCATGGTTTGCAACCTCCACTTACAGAGTGCCAAGCCCTCTGCTGAACACTCTGAAGAATGCAAAGCGAACCAGACAGTTGGCTTGCTGGTGGGAAACTCCTGAGGGCTTGAGGACCTCAACCCTCAATGAAGAATGGCCCAGATCAGAGCCTGCAGCGGGAGAGAGCCCATGTAGGAAGCCTTTGTGGAAGAGGAGACCCTTGAGGGTTCTGGGTGGCTGGTGCTTGAGCATCTGCCTTTGGCTCAGGTTGTGATCCCAGAGTCCTGGGATTGAGTCTCGCATCGGCCTCCCCACAGGGAGCCTGCTTCTCCCTCTGCTTGTGTCTCTGCCTCTCTGTGTCTCTCATGAAGAAATAAAATAAAATCTTCTTAAAAATTAAAAAAAAAATGGGGGATCCCTGGGTGGCGCAGCGGTTTGGCGCCTGCCTTTGGCCCAGGGCGTGATCCTGGAGACCCGGGATCGAATCCCACATCAGGCTCCCGGTACATGGAGCCTGCTTCTCCCTCTGCCTGTGTCTCTGCCTCTCTCTCTCTCTCTGTGTGACTATCATAAATAAATAAAAATTAAAAAAAAGAAATTTAAAAAAAATTTTAAAAAAAAGAGGAGACCCTTGAGCTGAACATGGAAATAAATAGGAGTGTCTTGTGTGAATAAGGAAGGGGGAGAACTACCCTGGACAGAGGAAGAATGGCTTTGAACTTTGGGGGATGGGTAGATGTTCCCCCGGGGCTGGTGCACATTTGCGGTACAGGGGCACTGTTGGGGGGAGGGCTGGGTCTCTCGCTCTCTGGATCACACGAGCCGCATGTGCTTGGAGGCGCCTCGATGGTACTTCTCAGCTCTGGGTGTTGGCCTCCAAGATCCACAGCATTGGGATATTTACTACCATTTCTATTTTTCTTTTTTTTAAAGAAGATTTTATTTATCCATTTGAGAGCGAACACAAGCAGGGTCCCCGCTGAACAGGGAGCCCGACGCAGAGCTGGACCCCAGGACCCTGGGATCATGACCTGAGCCGAAGGCAGACGCTTCATCGACTGAGCCACCCAGGTGCCTCTCTACTGTTTCTAGGACTGGGGTCATTCATGGGGGTTGAAGATCACAGCAAGCAACAGTCAGCTCTGACCCAGGGGCTGCGGCATCAGGAGAAATGAATCGGGAGCCATCTCTGCTTCTTGGGAGGCCACTGTCCAATGGCAGCCACCCAAGACTTTGGACGACGGCTCTATCACACTGTACTTAGAAGAGGCCCCTGCCACGTTGCCGGGGAGCTGGTGATAGGTCTTTGGAGGAAGGGAACTTTCAAGCTGTGTCTTGAGAGTTGAGTAGGAGTTCACTAGGGGGATACGATGGAAACATGCCTGTGGAAGAAGGAGCACATGAAACGCAGAGGTTTGCTGAGAAACTGAAGACAGCCAGGGTCACACTGGGATAGGGGAGATGCTCATCAAATGTGTGCAGAACTGAGATGCCTTCCTGCCTTGCCCCCGAGACAGTCTAGCTCTTGCCCTTAAGCTGCTGTGGACGCACTAGGAAAGGAGGTCCCTTCAAGGAATGAAGACACAGGGATGCCTGGGTGGCTCAGCGGTTGAGCACCTGCCTTTGGTCCAGGCTGTGATCCTGGAGAGCTGGGATCGAATCTCACATCGGGCTCCCTGCATGAAGTCTGCTTCTCTCTCCACCTGTGTCTCTGCCTCTCTCTCTCTCTCTCTCTCTGTCTCTCTCTGTGTGTGTGTGTGTGTGTGTGTGTGTGTGTCTCATGAATAAATAAATAAAATCTTGGGGGAAAAAAAAAAGGAATGAAGACACAAATGGCCAGATGCTACAGGCACTATGTGCTTTACACACACTCACTACTTAGAACATTCCTTTCAAGGAGATACTGTCCTTCACTTCCATTTTACAGATGAGGAAGTATGGTAAGTGGCTGGTGTAATGAGCCCAGGGAGTGAGGAGAAGGATCCTGACTCTGGCTCCTGGCAGCCTGACCTCCCAGCTCCAGCACTTAACCATGCCACACACCGTTGCTCACGTTGAGGGAGGGTCTGGGACGGTCTGATGGAAAGCATTCAAGAACTTCAAGGGACTTTGCTCCCCACCCTCCAGCCAGCTGGGATGGCCCTGAAAGGTTATCTCGCAGGTCAGGTAATCTGTTGGTCAGTCCGTCTGGGGCAGGGGATGTGAGAAGGTGTCATTCCTCACCTGGAAAGAGGGCACTCTGGATCCTTCTTGCAGGCAATGGATCCTGGATGAACAAATACCCTTCAAAAGTAAGAAGGGTATCAGCCTTGGTCCTGCAGAGGTGACAGAGATTCGATTTCTTCTAGGTGCCGGAGCTGCAGAAAGGGCAGTGATGGATGGGCTTTGACAGAGTCGCTCTTGCCGGTCAGAGAGTGATTCCAGGCCCCTACAGGGCTCTGGGCCAATACACATCAGAAGGAGCTCTGTCTGCAGCTCCCGGGCCCAGGAAAGGCAAGACTTTGAGAGTCGTTTAAGTCTTGGTACATGGTCACCCTCTCATCTGTGGGGAAGCAACAGGGCTAAAAGCACAGGTTTGGGTCATACGCAGACCTGCCCTTCACAAACTGGCTGTTCCCACCTGTAAATCTGTGGCCTTGAGCAAATTGCCTTGTTTCTTCCGTTTTCTCATCTCTGAAGTGGGCCTAATGATAAAATCAGTGCAGTGATGAACAGAGCACTAATTGCATTAAGTACTCAGTAAGTGTCAGCTATTTGTCATAATCGTTCATTTTAGCTAAGACATTTATTAAGCGCCTCCTGTGTGTCCCATGGTGCAAGGGACACAGGATGAATAAGCTTTATCCTGAATTTCAAGAAGCTTCTGGTCACCGTGAGAAGTAGAAGAAATATCTTCTTTCTCGTTCCTTTCCATCCTGGTGGATAAGACCGCTCTGGGCTGAATGTCCCTGTTTAAACAGGGTCTATGAGGATCTGAGGTCACTTGGGGAGATCCAGGTTTGGGGGAGACTCTTGTACCTCTTGCTAGCTATCTGCACCTCCCCTGTGGTGCCATTCTTGGTTCTCAGGTCCTCATCAGGACTCCCATTGCACTGACCACAATCTGTCCCTGTTTTTTACGTATATATTCACAACCTGGGTGAGGGTGCCTTCTGCCTCCGAGGAAAGGTTTGGTGCAGATGGCTGGGGCTGATGATCCCGAACCAGCAAGCCCCCAGACTGGGGAAATTGAAGGACAACCACGGAGCACCCATAATCATATCCCAACATGCATAAAGCTCTCCAAATACATCAGGTTTTAGAGTTTGTGAAGCACTCTGCCATTCACTTCATATAACCTGTATGGAGGGTGGTCTCCGCAGGAACACTTTACAGAAGAGGAAACTGAACCCAGAGAGGTGGCTTCCAAACTGCGCCTAGAACCCCAGCCCACCCAGGTTGGCAGAGTTGTCTGGTAAGGACCACCAGTCCCTTGTGAAATATGTAGATTACCAAGCCCTGTCTCCAAATCCTAAATCTTAGAGGTCTGGATTGGGGTTCAGGAATCAATAGGTTTAACAAACACCCAAGGTGCTACTTATCTTGGGGCAAGTCCGGACACATTTCCATTCACTGATTTATTTACTTAGCTAAGATTTTTCGGGTCCAAACTAAAATGTGTACTGTGAGGAAAACTCGATGAACAAGGCAATCCCAACTTTAAGGAACTAACAATCTGCAGGCTGAACAGATCGTCCAGGTCCCATGGCCCTCTGGGGTGTGCAGCCCAGGTCTCTCCTAGGGGAGGCCCCTTCCTGCTGGGTGGGCCTGCCCCACCCTGCCTCCCCCTACCCCAAGTCTGCAGCTCCAGGCTGAGCCTGCTGGGCCCGCTTCCCCTGTCTCCACCAGCTCTGGGCTGAGCCTTGGTTCTTTGGAGCTGGAGCAACCTGTGGAAGGAGCCGAGGTGGGCCCGGCACCTAGCATTTCAGCAAAGGCCAGCCAGCTGCTCATGTACCTGGAGAGGCTAAGAAAGGACAGGAGGCAGGAGGAGGCCTCCTGTGTTGAGGGAAACAGCTCGGGCCTGACAAGGGGCAGGGATTTCTATTTCTTTAAAGGTAATTCCAGCTCTGATCTGACTGTACCTGGAAAGGGAGCCAGACAAGAATCAGTCCTGTGCAGGTGAGGAAAGCAGGGCACCGAGCAAAGGGAATGAGAGTCCTGGGCTGAAACCCGGGTCTCCCGGAGGGGGAACTGCCAGGACAGGCAGGGACGGCAGGGCACGGACATTACAGGTGACACCTTTATGAGTGGGGAGGCTGCACCTGGCCGACTGTGGGGGGGGGGGGTAGCATCGCAGGCCAATGTGGGGAGAGCCTCCAGGATGGGCCACCACTCTCCACCTGCTCCAGTTGAGCCAGACACCGGCTCGGAGCCTGGAGACACAGGGCGTGGCAGGGATCCGAGGCACGGCGGGGCGAGGAAGCCACAATTCCGACCTGAGAGTTGCAGGCGACAGGCTTGCTGTGCCGCAGAAACGAGGCCCTCGGTACCTAGAGCAGCCGCGCCAGGGTCCCGAGCTTGGCCGGCTCAGGTCCGGCCCGCCCCCAGCAGGTGGTCTCCCTGGGGGCCTCCCCCCACCCCCCGACCCCCACCCCCGGGTGGAGGGAGGTATAGGAGCTCCAGGCTTTCCCGGGGAGCGAGGGAGGGAGGGAGGGAGGGAGGAGGCGGGGCGGCAGCGAGGGCCCGGGATATAAGGGGCGGAGGCGCCGCTTCCAGGCCCCGCCAGCCCAGCATGCACGCCCCCCGGCTGCCCCTGTGCCTGCTGCACGCCTGCTGGGCCCTGCTCCAGGCGGGCGCCACGACGGTGGCCCCGGTGCCGCTGCGGACGCGGGTGCAGCCCTCGTCGCCGTCCCCTCTCGCCTACATGCTGAGCCTCTACCGCGACCCGCTGCCCCGGGCTGACATCATCCGCAGCCTGCAGGCGCAAGGTAGGGCCGGGCCGCCGGGGCCTCCGCAAGGGCGCGGGAAGGGCTGGGGCCGCCGGGGCCGCGGGGCCCGAGGGCGCAGCGGCTGGCGGCGGCGGGGGCGGCCCGGGGGCCCCAGGGCGTTGCGCGGTGCTTGGGGGGCGCAGAGCGCGGTGCGGGAGCGTGGGAGGCCGACTGCGCCGCGGGAGCTGCGGGCTGCACGGGGCGCGCTTCCCCGCGGCGGGACCCCGGGGCCGCCCTTAGAGACTGGCGAGCGCTGGGGGCCCCAGCACGGGCCGCGCGCAGCACGAAACCGCGCGGAGCGATCAATGGGCGCGATTACCGCCGCGTACGTTCTGTCGATTCCTTTTGTTCTTCGCGCCTGTGGGTGACAGCGTGAGGGAGTCTGGCCGCGAGCCCCGAAACCCAGCATGGGGCGCGTCCGTGAGGTCCGGCTGGGAGATGGGGTGCCCCGAGGTCGGAAACTGAGGCGGGCCTGGGAACCCCGCCCAGGCTGGGAAGGTGTCAGCGTCCCCGGGGGCCGGGCCCCAGCCTAGGTTTGGATGGAGGGAAGCCCTCCGCGACCCCCGGGGCCCCGGAGGTCACCCTCGGAACGGGGCGGGCGGCGCGGGCAGGTGGGTGCTGGGCTGAGGGCGCGCTCCTGCGGGGTCCCCTTGCCCCCTGCAATCCACATCCTGACGTCTGGGGTCGGGCCGACCCCCGCCGCCCTGCGCCGGCCTGCGCCTCCCTCCGCGGCTGGGGCCAGACGGCCCGCCCCACGCTGGGGCGCAATCCACATCCGATAATCTGACCTAATTGGCCACCCGCCAGCCCCTTGTGGTCTGGGGCTGGGGGCTCCCAGCTCCCCCGCCGGCCACGTCTGGGGTCAGACAGCTGATGACCCTCTCCCGAGGGGTCATCTGGGGACCAGACGGACGAGGGACATCCGAGGGGCTAGCGGGCTTGGCAGTTACGGGAGCGCTCGGCTCAGGCCCTGCATCCAGAAAGCTGGGTGCGGGGAGTAGGCTGGGCAGAGGGGCCGGGGTGCGGGTGCGCTTTTTCGGTTCATTCGTCCTTCTGGAGAGTTCCAGAAGGTTTGTGGGGGGGGGGGGGGTTGACAGTCTGGGAGAGTGGAAGGAGGGGTGCTGGTCCTTCCAAGCCTGCTTCCCAATTCCTGGTGCCCCCCCCCCCCCGCCTTGCATATCAGTTGACTTCTCTAGTTTCCCCTTCTCTCAAATAGGGGGCTGGCTTTCTGCCTCATTTGTGTGTACAGGTGGTAAAATACAGGACAGAACTACCAACTCACCTTTTCTCAGTTTGTGCAGCGGCATTAAGTACATTCAGTGCTGTGAATGGGCTTCATTTTTTTTAAAAGCAGCAGGAAGAGCCTGCCTGGAGGGACACGGGTGGAGAAGGGATGTCCCCGACGCTCCTTTCCCTCGTGGGTTTATCTGTTCTCCTCGGGAGGAAAGCGGGACGTGGGTGTTGGAGTCTAACCAAAGTGGGTTTGCATCTGCTTGTCCCTGTTGAGGGCTCACCTTGGGTTTTTAGAAGACCTTCAGTTTTCTCACCTGCAAAATGGTAATAGCGGTGGTGAGGATTGCAGGAGACGAGGCTCGGCCGGAAGCAGTTATCGGCAAATATCCTCATCCTAAACGTATCCTATGTTTATAATAACGTAGAGCAGACACTTAGTGTCTTACACCCTCCTTTCCTGCAGAGCCCCAAGTCCTCACTCAGCCTCAGCACCCTGTCTGAGGGGAGAGAACCCAAGGGCATGGGCCCAACCACTTTCTTCTTTAGAATTGGATGTGGGTGGGTGCCTGGGTAGCTCAGCGGTTGAGCGTCTACCTTGGGCTCAGGTCGTGATCCTGGGGTCCTGGGATCAAGTCCCATATCAGGCTCCTGGCACAGAGCCCACTTCTCCCTCTGCCTATGTCTCTGCCTCTCTATGTGTCTTTCATGAATAAATAGGTAAAATCTTAAAAAACAAAAAAGAAAGAACCAGACATGGGTCAAGATCTCACTGGGGCCTGTGGGGCCGACTCCGTTGAGCCCATGGACAGGTTTCAGGGTGTCTGTGAACCCTCTCCGGAGACCAAGCCCTAAGCAAATTTGTTGTACAGGTAGGAGCATTCTTAGCATGTATCAGGCATCAGTGACCCCCAAGGGATGAGGCACCCTGTCCTAACAAGAACCAGAGCCGGACCTAAGAGAACCCAGCAGCACTATTTCCCAAGGAGCCCTTGGCTGGGGGTGGGGTCATGAAGGCAAAGACTCTTCCCACCCTGGGAAGGAGCCCTCCATACACATTGTCCATCCCGGTAACAGATGACTCTGCTCCTCTGTCCAGGTCCCTCGCTACCTATCTGGATACCTTCATTTCTTTCTTTCTTTCTTTCTTTCTTTCTTTCTTTCTTTCTTTCTTTCTTTCTTCTTTTTAAGATTTTATTTATTTATTTGACAGAGAGCACAAGCAGGGGGAGCAGCAGGCAGAGGGAGAGGGAGAAGCAGGCTCCCCGCTGAGCAGGGTTGGATCCCAGGACCCTGGGACCATGACCTGAGCTGAGGACAGATGCTTCACCGACTGAGCAACCCAGGGGCCCCCGGACACCTTCATTTCTACCTTGGACATCGGCAATAATAAGGAAGTGGTTGATGACAGCCAACATGTTGTACTTTGGTTGTGCTGGGCAAGACACTTTCCACACGTTATCTCAGTAAATCCTAACACTCCTGGGAGCTGGATGCTGTCACTATCTCCCTTTTACAGAGAGGGAAACTGAGGCCCAGAGGAGGCAAGTAACCTGCCCAATGTTAAACAGCAAGTGGCAGAATTTGAAGATCACAGGAGGCACCAGAGCCCTTGCTCTGAGCCACGGAGCCAGAACGCCTTCCTTCCTCTAAAAGGCCATTTGTGGATGCTTGAGATAAAAAATCTTTAACTCCTGGTGCAAGTGGCCAGGACACGCTGCAGGTCCCTCCTAACCCCCAGCTGGCTCGGGTGCTGCAGTGGGCCATGGGGGATGCCAGACTCCTCCCCACACCTCTGGGGAGAGTTGCTAGCCAGGGCCCGGTTATTGCCCCCTGCAGGTGCTAATGAGGAGGGAAGTGGAAATTAAGTGAAGAAGAGCAGCTGGAGATGGGCTGGGAGAAGCGGCCAGCAGGCTGAAGCTGGGAACGGTCTTGTCGTGCAGGGTGGATTTCTCAGAGAAATTCACTTACCACCTGACCAAAGATGCTCTATGAGACAATTAAAACAACAAAAAAATGGGGGCTGCCTGGGTGGCTCAGTGGTTGAGCACCTGCCTTAGGCTTAGGTTGTGATCCCGGGGTCCTGGGATCGAGTCCCGTATCGGCCTCGCACACAGCCTATTTCTCCCTCTGCCCATGTCTCTGCCTCTCTCTCTCTCTCTTTCTCTCTCTCTCTCTCTCTCTGTCTCTCCTGTATAAATAAATAAAAATCTTAAAAAAAAGAAAGAAAGAAAGAAAGAAAGAAAGAAAGAAAGAAAGAAACTGTCACATGGTCTTCCCAGAGTGGACCTAAATCAGAGCTCAGTTAGTATTTTTATTCTAAGGGATCATCTAAGGGACTTTTCTTTAGCAACAAACCTTCAAGCCTCTTTATTTCCATGAGGGCTTAGGATAATGCAAGGAGGGGTAGGGGATGACCATTCCCATTGCAAAGAAGAGGAAACTGGGTTTGAAAAAAGTTAAAGGTCACTTTTAGGTGAGCTGAAAATCCACAAAAACATGCTATTCCCGGACGGTGGACTAAATTAGTCCAGGACTAAAATGAATGGAATGTGCTTCCCCATTCCTTTTCATCCAGTTTGGATTGAGTTGTCTTGGGGTTGGAGGGGGGATGTGGAACAGGGCTGGGGGCTGTGTGTGCGCTTGAGGTATCTGCTGCAGGTGTGGGAATGCCCGGGCCAGGGCAGGGATGGGGGGCTGGGAGGGTGTGCTAAGCACCCTGCAGGTAGATGAGAAAGCCCGCTGGGTGGAAAACTGCCAGGTCCGTGCAGAGTCGTGCTTAGAATGCCCGTAGAAGCCTGTGTGTAAGGCTGTCCAAGACTCCCGAAGTTTCTGCCTCTGCCTTGAGGAATGGGTGGAGGAGAGGGTGGCCAGTCTTTGGCTTCTGTTTCTTGTGCGTCCCTGAGCGCGCCGAGGCTTGCCCTTGCAGGATAGGCATACCAACCTCATGTGCCCGTGAAATAGGTCTTTCCGGTGAGAGAATGGAGTCTGGGAAGGTGACTTGCTCAGGGTCACGGGGTGAGGGGAAGCTCAGGGTTTGGCCTTAGAGCAGAGAGAACTCATCTAGCTTCTACCATTTGTTCTCTGGCCACGGAGCGCCTTGGAGGGAGCAGCCCAACCGTGATCTGGAGTTTGAGCTTTGAGGTTGGGCAAATCCAGGTTAATTCTTGGCCCTGGCACCTTGTGCAGGTGGTTTAACCTCTCTGAGTCTCACCTGAAATTGGACTAAAAAGGACTCAGCAATGCCAACTCCTAGGGTTGGGGTGGGGATGGAGAGGAGGCCTGTTAGGTGAAGGCTCCAAGAGGAGCCCTGGGGGTTGTTACAGGGATGAGGCCGCAGGGGGTCCCCACTCACCCCGCTTCCTTCTCCGTCTTTCCCCACCCAGATGTGGAGGTGGACGGACACAACTGGACCTTTGCTTTTGACTTCTCCTTCCTAAGCCAAGTGGAGGATCTGGTGTGGGCTGAGCTCCGGCTGCAGCTGTCCAGCCCCGTGGCCCTTCCCCCCGGCGTGCTCCTCTCCATCGAGATTTTCCACCAGCTCAAGCCAGATGTGGAGCAGGACCCGGCTGCCTGCCAGGAACGTCTTCGGATGGACCTGTTCACTGTCCCTCTGTCCCACGTCACCTTTTCCTCGGGCAGCATGGTCCTGGAGGTGACCGGGCCACTCTCCAAGTGGCTGAAGCACCCTGGGGAGCTGGAGGCGCAGATGTCCAGCGTGGCTGGAGGGTGTCCGCAGCGGCCTCCCACGCCGCCTGTCACCAGCGTGCTCCTCGTGCTCTACTCCAACCTGTCGCCGGAGCAGAGGCGGCTGGGCGGCTCCACCTTGCTGTGGGAGGCCGAGAGCTCCTGGCGGGCCCGGGAGGGACAGCTGTCCTCGGAGAGGCGCCGGCGGCACCGGCGCCACCATGTGCCCGACAGAAGCCAGCTGTGCCGGAAGGTCAAGTTCCAGGTGGACTTCAACCTCATTGGATGGGGCTCCTGGATCATCTACCCCAAGCAGTACAATGCCTATCGCTGCGAGGGCGAGTGTCCTAACCCCGTGGGGGAGGAGTTCCATCCGACCAACCACGCATACATCCAGGTGCGGAGCCCTGCCGAGGGGAGGGGAGGCCGTGGGCTGCTGGATGGGGAGGTGGGGGGACAGGACGCCAGCGTGGCTCGTAAATCACGTGGCCCATTCATTCACTGTTATTCGGGTGCCAGCTCCTATCCAGGCTCCTATCCTGTAGTGATGACCTGTGACAGATCCTCTGAGGGCCTACGTGGAGTGCTGCCCCCTTTGGGTCACCTTGAACGCCTTGCTTCCTTAGGACGTCCTCCATAAAGTTAGGGGTGGAAGGTGTAGCCTAGAAGGCCGCTGCTTCCCCTCAGCTCTGACTTCGAGGAAAGGAAGGTCGGAACCCGGACTTGGGGAATAAAGCAGGCTTCGATTCCTACGTATTAGCCAATGACGCTGACCAAGTTGCTCATTCTCTCTGAGCCTGACTTTTCCCACCTGCGAGAGGGGGGTGGCCGTGCCAGATTTCACAGGAATGTTGTAGGCTTTTTTTTTAATATTTATTTATTTATTCATGAGAAACACAGAGAGAGAGAGAGACAGAGAGAGAGAGAGAGAGAGACAGAGGCAGAGACACAGGCAGAGGGAGAAGCAGGCTCCATGCAAGGAGCCCGACGTGGGACGCGGGACTCGATCCCGGGTCTCCAGGATCACACCCTGGGCTGCAGACGGCGCTAAACCGCTGCGCCACCGGGGCTGCCCAGGAATGTTGTAGGCTTAAACGAGGTGCTAGGTGTACCTAGAGCACATGTATGCCGGCAGGTGTCCGGCACGTCTGATGTTGCATTATCGTTACTAGAAGTGCGTGATTCACTGATGGAATGGGGGCCCTATTAATGGGGCCATGGTTGGGATAACACTGTTCCAGCCGCTGTACTCCTGCTGCCTAAAACGGGAGTTGGACACGGTTTTGTAGGAGAGAAGGCCCACCGGGTTCCACTAATCAGCCTAAGGTCTGAAAGGTGGTGGAGGGGAGCAAAGGGAGAATGAGAAGGAGGGAGCAGGGAATACAGCCCAAAGCGGTGGCCCTGGTATTGGGGTACAGAGGCTCTGGGGAGCATGTGAGCTGAGCTGATGCAAGGAAAACACCAGAGGAGCCAGAGCCCTGTAGGACCTTTCCCGGGCAAAGGCCTGAGCTTCTCCTGGGACTTCTGCTCCACCCACCTACCTGCTGCATGATCAAGGGGCCCCCCAGAGACCCAGAGAGTCCCAACTAGCAGCTCTGACACTAGCATCTGAAAAGACCTCACTGGACCACAGGGACAGGGCCCGGTTCCAGAGTGCCAAGGGATTGTTACCTTTTCTCTTATTGACTCTATTTGCCTTTCTCTGGGCAACAAAGGAAATCCCACAAGAATTTCCGCATGACTCTCTTCTGCTTCATGTTTCTGGAACTAAACCAGGAGTTTCTTGGAATTGGTATGCACTCTAGACTAGAACAATAGGAGGACATGTAAGCTTGCTACTGCTCTACCCAGATACAGCTTTTAGAATCTTCTGTTTAGCTCCTTTTTTTTTTTTCTTTAAACAGCCTGTGAAGTTACTTTATGTGTTGAGTTGATGACATGTTGGCAGGCTGATTTCCTTTATGAGAACAATTTTCTTCTATTTTTGTACCCAGATTTTAACTGACTTTTCTCCCCCCCACAGAGTCTGCTAAAGCGATACCAGCCCCACCGAGTCCCTTCCACCTGCTGTGCCCCCGTGAAGACCAAGCCCCTGAGCATGCTGTATGTGGACAATGGCAGAGTCCTCCTGGACCATCATAAAGACATGATTGTGGAAGAATGTGGGTGCCTTTGAGGCAATCCTGGCGGGGGGGCTGGATTTGCCTGTACCCTGGGAAGTTGGGAAGGTCCTAGAAGACACGATAACCATCGAATGTGATGAGGAGAACCGGAGGGGTAGAGCTTGCTCTGTCTGCCAGGGCTGCGGAGGAAGGGCAGCTCTGCAAAGGCAAGCTCTGTGGAGTCTGGCAAACAGGGAGGCTGCTGTCAGGAGAGAGGGAGGCAAGCCTGTGAGGCAGGCTTGTTGGTTTTCTCTTTACTGAAGAGACAGTGGTGAGTAAAAGCACTGGCGCAAGGGTTCTTGACTTTTTAACCTATGAACCCGCAGAAATTAGAAGCAAACGTTGGGGCATATGTGCATTTATCTGTGAGGTGGGACAGGTTATCCGTAACCTTCATGTATTCTCAAAACTGGTCCTTGACCACCCTCTCCCCTCCGCCAAGATTACGTTCACTGTGTTAAATGAAAAACGATTGGCCACTGTCGTGTCTGGCTGGTTCAGGGAAGCCCCCACATCTCCCGGGCTGGCCAGGGGCAGTGGGCTGGCCTTGTCCAGAGGCTCCCCAGAGTGGGTCTCTGCTAATGAGTCGCACGACAATAAAGACATTGTGAAGTCCTCCTAGGCCAGCTGGTGCCTTTGAAGGGAGAAGCAGGAACTCGTCCAGAGGACTGGCCACGTGGGTCTGCAGGAGTGGAGGCCTCGGACATCCCCACCGTCAGCCCGCTTGGGCAGACACAATCCGAGTCTATTAAAGTTGGTGCCAGTTCACCCCAGTGTCTCGTGTGTGCTGTTAATGAGGCCCCCGTGCCTCCTGTCCAGTGGGGGTGAGGTGTCCTGAGACTTGGGTTATGGTCACGGCTGAGCCGCTGAAAAGCTGGGTGACCTCAGGTGAGTCATTCCTCACTCGGGCCCCTCCTGTAAAGTCAAAGTGGGTGGATCCTGACGTGCCCCTATAAAAAGTCTGTGAGCAGGACCACAAGAGCCACAGGCCCTATGTCATGGGCTGTGCTCTGGGCCTTGTCCCCGTCACCCTGCACAGCTGAGGAAGGCTGCTAAGCCTCAGGCCTGCCGTACCCCCTCTATCGAACCTTCACCAGCTCTTCTGTTGCTCAGGGTGCAAAGTCTGGCTTAATTTCGGGTTCCACCTGACAGCACAGCAGAAAGAACCCCAGCTTTCTTGTGGGACGCTCTGCTACCAAAACACCTGAGCACGGCTTTGCCCCATATATGAAAAGACCCCGAAGGCAGTCATTCTGTTTTTCTCTTTTAGCTGACCTCATTGAGCGTCGCCAGGACAGGGGCCATCTCTGTCAGGCAGCGCGAGGGGGCCATTCCCCCGGGGAACGCAAGTCTATGGTAGTTCTACCCCTGCCTCCCTGGGAAGGCGGCCAACCCGTGCTCTAGGCTGAGGAAACCGATCTCCATGTGGGAACCTCTCCTGACTTTAGATGTGACTCGATTGCAGCCTCGGTTGAGGCAAGGTAGTAATCCAGGCCTAGGCAGAGGTTGGAGAGGCTGGAGCCCGGCCTGGGCTTGAGAAACCTCAATGCCCTGATTCAGCAACCAAGCAGATCCAGCCGCTCCTTTCTTAGGGTGGAAATAGACCTGCCCAGACCACAATTTCAAATCCCCATAGGATTCCGCATCTGACTCAGCTCTGGAAACACCAGAGCTGGGGAGTCCCTGTGAGGGCAGCTTCGCATCCCGTCTATTTCCCTCAGTGAGACCCCGCAGAGGCCCAGGGCCCGACCGCACAGCTGGGAGGGGTTGGGTCAGGAACTCGGCTCTGGTCCCTGGAGCCCCAGGGGCGCCGGCCTTAATAGCACCTGGAGGTTTCTGCTCCCCTACTTTTGGTCAAGACCTAGACTTTGGAACCAAACATTTGGACCCAATTCCACTACCACATGGAAATTCTGGGAAGTGAAAATCCTACCCCGGGGCTTTAGAGCGTCTTCCTTACTAAATCGGTGCCCAACATTTCTTCTGTGACTAGGGCCAAGAAAGAGAAAGTTCAAGCTACTTGTGGCCGCGGCTCGTGGGAGAGTTTACAGTTGGCAGCTCCACTGCCTCAGAGAACAAAGCTCCCTGAGAGGCAGCGCTTCCTATCAGCAGGCGGGGTCCAACGAGTGGAACTTGGCTTTGCTGACTGACCCCTGCTGAGAGCTGTGGGTCTTCCTCGGCGTCTGGGGCCAAGCCTAGCCACGCAGCTTCTTGCTTTGGCCCCCCTGGGCCGGGCAGGCTCCATAACCCAGGGGAAACCCTGCTCCTTTCTTCTGAGAACGAGGTCGGGCCCTAACCTGGGGGCCCGGGAGGGGCTCTCCCAGAACTTGCTCTCAAGGCAAAGCCCCACCGTACTTAGAGCCGCGCCAAGCCAGTGGCTGAATGGGGACAATCGGCTGCCTTGCTGTCCTTGGCTGGGTGGTACCTGGAGAGGAGACAGGACTGGAAGGAGAGAAGCAGAAACACGGGCTACACGGGTGGTGGGAGGCCTGTGCCTCCATCCTCAGCCTCCCCATACCCTGCCCTGCCTCTGCACAGAGTAAAGGACGATGAAGTGCTAGTGGAAAGATTCCTTAGTCCTTCCAAAGGTCCCAGGGCTGGCTGGGGCCGCGGTCTGCAAGCCCACTCCACGCCCAAACTTGCTCACTCCCGAGGGAAAGGAGGCCCAACCGGCCGACCTCTGGCTGCCATGCCAGCCAGGCTGTGCTCCAGTCCTTTCTCGAACTCTTCGTGCCAGGCCCGGGGTTAAGCGCCTTCTGTGAGCCGAGCCCAGCCTCACAGCCACCTGGGAACACGTAGTCCTTAATCCCAGGCTACCCTAGAGAACCCTGGTGTAAGGAATGTGGCCTCGGAGCCACTCAGCTGAGCTTCAAGGCTGGCTCACTCTGAAGCCAGACAACCAAACCTCAACACTGTCCTTGTAGGGAAAACGTTTCAAGTCCACTTTTACTCTGTGGACCTGTTGGCAGCTCACACAGGACAGGATTCTCATCCTCAGCATTAATATGTGAGACTCACTGGATTCGTAATAGCAGTCGGATGCTCCCGCAGCTCCTGGAGTTCAGGACCTCGGGCGGGATGCATTTCTGACAAGTGCCCCTGGGAATGCAGGCAGCCCCCTTCTGGAAAAAGGCAAGACTGTTGGCTTCTGTGAGGCCGGTAGGCGGAGGGGGGCCTGCGTTGGTGTGTGCGGCCCCACATGCACCTGTTCACCACCACGCTTCTGAGGGCAGGGAGAGAAACCCACTGCATACATAGGGGCCAAAGCCAGCATGCTGCGGATGTTGAGAACTGCCATACGGAACGGCTGACCATCTTTGCCCATCTCCCTCACCGGTCAAGACCCTCCACATGTGAAATCAACAGGGTTTCACTTGAAATAAAAAAAAAAAAAAATCAAAACTCAAGTTGATACTCAAGATCTTTATTGATTTGACTGTAACAGCAACCATTGGTAAGAATTTAATTTTTCCCCTAATTTCCAAACACCTGCTGGTTTAGGACAGTTACAAAAACAACAAAACCCCAACAGAAGTGATCACGGACTCACACAGGACGGCCTCAAGACGGCATGGTGTCCTCTGCTATCCATCCACGACAGTGAAATGGAGGGGGAGGTGGTGGGGGGGGCAGAGGACAATGACATCAAAGGACAAAGGGAAAACCAAGGAAAGTACTGGCAGTCTCTACTTTCCATTCAGAGTGGATGGAGCTGAGCCGCTGGTGCCACTAAGATGGGGAAGGGCATTTGTTTCAGATACAAAATATTTTAAAGATGCTCAAGTAGACACCTGGATATGTGAGTGTCCTCTGGGCTCCCCCAAGATGCCTCCAATGAGGCTTGCCCTTGGGATGCCCAAGTGGGAAGCGGGGGGTGGGGGAGGTGGGGGGGTGCTCTATCTTCAGGGGAAGGAAAGGCACTGGCTCACAGTACTCAGTGATTTGGACATGGCCACCAGAAGCAGGATGGCTTAGGAGTACAACCCGTCCTCATTTTGTGTTCCTCCCCCACCCTCCTGGTTTCAAGTAAAAACTACCCTTGGCCTGGGCTTGGGTTTTTTGTTTTTAAAGGTTAAGATGTAGAGGAAGGGATACACCGGGGGCAAGAATGAATATTCTGTGCTAGATTCATGGAACTCTAAGTCAGAAGTGTCCAGGAATTCAGGGAGTAAGCACCGGCAAGAGCTCCCTTTGGAAATTTCAGCGTGGCCCAATGATTATCAAGCATTGCAGCATCTGTCAGCCTCCCCACTCTTAGAAAGGCGGCAGAGTGAGAATTCAAATACCCTAGGAACTGCGTTTCACCTCGGCAACATTTCCCACTGGCCATCCATACCCCATGGTCTGCTGGGGGGGGGGGGGGCGTCAGCAGAGGGTAAGCTAAGAAAAACCATAGACCATCTGAACAGGGACTCAAGAAACCTCTTAAATCTAGCTTCGCCGCTAGGTATTCACTTCTAGGACCAGCCCAGATAAAGAAATTTAAATTCCAGAGGGCGAGAAAGGTGACATGAATGATTCTTTGAAAAAAGAAATTTGTGTCCATCTCCCTTAAGAGTCTCCCTAAGAAATTCCTGAGCTAGCCTCAAGGAAACCTCAGTGCTAAACTGGAAAATCCTTACTAGAACATGAAATGCCCCTGGGGCATAAGAATTCAAAAAGAATTGTGACCCAGTTGCCTCAAGATCTGATTTCATCCTTTATTAAGAGCTGAGAAGTAAAGACTCGGGAATGGGGCGGGGGTGGGGAGGGTTAACCACACCCCTTCCAAAGTCCAGACAGAAACTGCCCTCCCAAAGAAACCATGCTTCTTCAAATGATTACCGGGTCCCAGATGTCATGGGTGGGCAAGTGATTGGGTTTCGCAGATTAATAAACAGCTGCTATGCCTGTAGTCCAGAAACCTGCCAAGGGGGGCAAGTTCTGACCCAGATGGAGAGGCAGCAGACCGCCTCTCTGCAGGACAATGCAAAGGGCCCAGGGCCCCAGCTTCGACCAGCCAAGATGCTTGACACGCCGTGGAATACCCAAGAAGGGGAGAATGGGTAATGCTTCCATTTGGGTTCTGGGGTGAAACCCACACAAACAGGCCGCGTGTAGATGTACCAACAGGAAAGGTCGGATGGTCCCAAAGAGCTGGTAACCCGCTCAAATGAAAATGAAAGACCATCTATTTTGACTCCATCTCAAAATCAGAAGGAAAATCACAATGCAGGTGAAAGTGCTGTGAAGAGGGGCTCCTGACTTGTGGAGAAAGTACCCTTGTTCTTAGGGCTGCCTCAGCAGCAATGCTTCCTAGTCAAGTTCATGCTCCAAGCAGGGCCAGAAGATGCCAGTAAGAGACAGAGCTTAAAGCCAGACGGGAATGTGCATCTCGTAGATGTCTCTCAAGTCTCTAAAACGTGGTTGGGCCTGGGCGCCAGACACCCAGCAGACTTTCACTGAGTATGTGTTCGACGGACTAGGCTCACCTGTTTCTCTCAAGGGTGAAGCCAGGACCGCTTCTTTCTCTTTAAGAACACATTTCCACCAGAGAGCCCAGGAGGAGGTGAGCAGTCAAGATACATGGTGGGTTTAAAGTAGCAATCAAGCATGGACCTTTCTAAATCCCAGATGTTCCCCACCACATCAGAGAAGTGGCTTCTTGGGGGAGACCCGATCCAAATCTGTCTCAGCTGGTGTGGCTGCAGGGCCCAAGTGCTAACATCGACTCTGATAGGGACCTGGCTTCCAGATGCTGATGCTATCACCTACTTCATCCTGAATCTGAACTGTGAAGCTTTTACTCAGCCCAGGACCCCAACATCTCATTCACATTTCTTCCTTTAGTTTAGCAACTCTGACTGCAATTTAAGTCCATTTTAGTGGCTCGGTAAGAAGGATCGAATTCCCTTTATCAGTTCCTGGCTAAGGGAGATGCAAAGATGTGGTACGGAGGAGTCTCAGAGACATCAAGCCTAGGACTCCCAATGAAGCATCCTTGCACCGCTGCTAGCCAGGCAAATGTATAGCTCTTTTTATTCTCTTGGGAATTGTCATTTCTTGTCACCACTCTCAAAACCAGCAGGTGGCTTTGGGGAAAGAGTGTCAGTCTTCTATCCAGTTTGGAGATACAGTAGCAACATATCACTTTGTGTTATCTAGTTTAAGCTAACCCCTGTTGGGAGGACTTTATCCTCTATTGGGGGGGTGAGGTGATTTTAAGATACATCCTCAAATTCTTTGATACTGTTCCATTCATAGGTGGTATCTTCCCCTCCCCTTGTGTGTTGGCCAGGCTTCATAGCTTGCTTCTAAGGAACACAAGAGGTGATGGTGTGTGCTATCAGAGACAGCTATGAAAGGCACTGCAGATTCCTTCTTGTTCTCTCCCTGGGATCACCTGCTCAGGGGGGAGCCAGCTGCTATGGTGTGAGGACACGTGTGCTGTTCTACAGAGCGACCCATATGGACAGAACCCAGGCATCCTGCCAACAGCCACAAAAATGAGAGCACAGTAGATTCTCCAGCCCCAGATGACTGCAGTCCCTGCCAACATCTTGACTACAACTTCCTGCAACCCTGTGCCAGAACCATCCTGCTAAGCTGTTTTCCAATTCCTAACCTCCAGAAGCTGACAGAGGTTTGCTCTTTTAAGATTTAAAGTTTGGGGGTAATCTGCTACACAGCAATAGAGAACCAATACAGGTGGAAGGACAAAACTCTGGGCTTCACAGCCCAGCACCAAAAAGCCAGCTGCTCGGCCGTATGATCTTGAGGACGTTTAGCTAAACAATACAAAGAAGTGGTGATCTCAGCAAACCATAGTGTAGCACAGACACTTACTTGTACCAAGACAATTGCATGTCTCTTGCTGGAATTTGGAGGGACAAGGTCATTTCTCATTAAGATGGATTGTCCTCAAAGGTACAGAAACATGGTTTCCTCATCAAAAGAGCAAATGATCACTAAGATTTTACAAACCATTTCATGCTAATGGCCCCCTAAGGGTTCTCCCTCCCCATGAGAAGGCCAGGACAGATCACTTTCTTCTGGATGTGGCTCGCCCTAAGAAAAAAAAAAAACATTTTGTGATGCATGGCACAAAGGTGTCATCCATTACAAGTTAATCTGTTGCCTTCTCAAACCATCTTTAAAACACAGATTCATGCAGGTCACGGTATCTCTCAGCGGTGGCCTCCAGGATAGAAGAGTACCAACCAGTCAATAGGTCCTTGCAGAAAAGGCTGAAGGATCGGGCCGCTGCTCTATCATGCAGCTGACGCTCGCCACAAATACTAGAAAAACGGCCTCCGATTAGGGAGCTATGTGGAGAGATTCCCCAAGATGGCAGAAAAGGGGGAAAAGGGCACCTCAATATTACTCAAGCTGGCATGTTTTAAATCCACTCCCCCGCTGCTCAGCGAGGAGGCCAAGTTTTCATGTGTACCGATGAAGATCAAGAAGGGGCAAACTTCTGCTCACTGCTCGACCTGCTGGAGTTGGAGCTGGGTTCCACAGGATGCCAAAGCCAGCTATGAAGGACAAGAAGCTTCATTCCCAAAGAATCAAGCTTCCAGGGGACAGAGGGGTGCTGATTAAGTTTCTCATGCAAATGACAGTGCAACTCAAGTTTTTCTAAGAGTATGGAAAGCGAAATTCGGAGTTTAATTAAAATGAGAACAAGGATACATTACAAAAAGACAAGAAAATGCTTCTCTGATTAATTTTTTTAGTCTGAAAGCATCCCCCAAATTTTGGAGAGCCAGCTTATTCCTGAGAAACATCAACCATCACAAAAGGTTCACTCTCTGAACTATTCACATTTTGTAGTAGAAAACAGAACAAAGTTCCTCAGACAGCCTTCCTCTCTTCTAAAATGTGTTCATAAACAGGGTCTTTTCAGAGTTCAAAAGAAAAACTAACAGCTCTCTTTCTTAAGCCAGTTGGCCTGTTCCTCTCACCCTGGGATGTGATCTCTTAATGAGAGGGTTCAGGGCACCAAATGCAACCAGAAATTCCCAGGACACCAGCGGCTACTCTACTGGTCTAGGAGACAGAGGTGTTAGTCTTTCTACAAGGGGGTCACTGTCCCACTGTCCCGGGTTTATCGTGCCAGTCAACAGCTGGGAGGGCGTGGCGGGGGGGGGTTCGGGGGACATGAAAAAGCGAGGGGGGGGTGAAAAACGAGGCTTCTCGTGAACAACCCACGGCAAGGCATAATGGTCCAGTTTTACAAACCACCCACTACAAACTGCAAACACGCACACCCCAAACGAGAGGGAGAAGCAAAGAGCTCATCAGGGACTGGGGGAGACAAAGGATGGTGACATGGAACAGCAGACTCGCCTGTGGACGTTTCTCACCTCCCTAACACTGGAAGATGTGTAATCAAAAAGTTGCTGTTCAAAATCGTATTGAAAACATATCGAAAAATAGGTCTGTAGTCATCTTAAAAATAAAAGATCACTCCTCAGATAAGAGGAGTGAGATATTATCAGATACCAACACTTGAGGTATCTTTGATGTGTACTTGAAAAATGGCCTAGCAGAGAGAGAGAGAGGTGGGTGGGAGGGAGGGAGGGAGGAAGAGGGACAACCCCAAGTCCGATGGGGGAAAGGCAAGAGAACTGGGAGGAACCCACTTGTAAGCCCGTCCCTATCTATCCCAGCAGCCTGAGCAGGTCCACAAAGGAAAAGTTTTGTTCTTTCTTAAGAGCATTCTGAAAGTCACCTTTTTAAATTCCAAATATAAGAAACTGCAGGAAGATAGCAAGCATGGCAAAGCTCAGGAGACTAGAAGGCAAGGACTACTGAGACTGAGTACCTGGTTCCGCACACTCCCACGGTCACTCTCCAGTGTCACTGGCAGATTATGACTAGGCCTCCCCCAAAGCACCTGTCACTTGGCCTGTTCTGGGAGCAGCAGAATCACCCTGGTGGCTCAGATATAAGGGCACCAGCGAGCAACAGGACACCAGCAGGGAGGAAGGAGAAGAGGAGAGCCCCACTGCTTACAGGACACCAGCAGGGAGGAAGGAGAAGAGGAGAGCCCTGCTGCTTACCGAGGCCTCCCCCCTGGGGTAGGGCTCAGACCTTCCCACTCAGATGTGCTAAGTGAAGGACTGGGAAGCTGAACCAGAAGATCAAAGACAGGAGACACTCCTGCCGGAGGAAGAGGGGGAAGGGGACCTCACAAGAGCGTCACATGCTACCAGAGCTTTATAAACTGTGTTCTGCCCCTAAGGACAAACAGCTCAAGGTAAGAGGGAGAGTGGCTCTCTTTTCATTTATCATTTCCCTCCGATGGTTGTGAAGACCCCAAACACGCAGACTCTTGCAGCTCTGAACCACAGGTGGGGGGCAAGGATGGGGAAGGCAGGTAGAGGGTCAGAACACAGATAATGCTGAACCCACCAAAACTTCAATATTGCTTCCCCAGACTTCCCAGCCAGGCGATTGTTGACAGGCTGATATTCGATTGGGGATTCGAAAAAAAAATGAGGGGTGGGAGCAGGGACGACAGATTTTTTCCCAAATGTAAAGTGACTACGGAAGCCAGAGTGTAACGGTTTCCCTCTGTGGGCTGCTTATGTCTACAAAAATATGCCAAGGACTTGGGATCGAATCTGTGTGACTGGGAAGGGGGACAGGAAACAGGGAGAGGAAATGGTCAGATGAAGTTCATCTTCGCATCATTTGGCACCCAGAGGAAGGAAGAAGAGGGAGACATGGGGGCTGCATTGGGACTGCTGGCACTGCCCCTTGTCTGTTCATGTTGATCCTATGGGCCCAATCCGGTGCACACAGCCTTGGCGCTGCTGCTTTTCTGCGATCCTGCAGGGCAGTCAGATGTCCATCTCAAACTGAGCATCATCCCCTAGTAAGAATCAAGACAAAGGTTAGCACAAAAAGAGAAAGCCAAGCAGCCCCAACATTCCTCTGCACGAGGGTCAAAAAATAATCCAAACTTTCCCATTCTCTGCTGCCTTAAAACAATTATTTGTTTGCTTTGGCTGGTCTTTTTAATCGGGGGGTGGGGGGGATGGCATGGCAGTCAAACAACCCACAAGGAGTAGCACCTGGGGGAAGAGATCCAGGTGAAAACTCACCTAGCATGCCCCTGTCTGCAGATGCCCCAGGGGGAGCTCCTTGCCATCTATCACGTCAGCAAACTCTTCTGGAGGCTCTCAACTTTGGCCCTGCTCTGAATCAACACTTTGTCTATTAAAGGCTCATTTGGAATCTGAGGAGGCAGACTGCTGGCCTGAGCACAGAGGTCGCAGGGTACAACTCAGGGCGTACCTCTCGGGAGCTGGCCATTTCCCCCTCCCTCCTTCCACAGAGACAGAGTGGACTCATTACTCCGTGAGTGTGTGTGTGTGTGTGTAGGTATCACAGGAAGTCCTGGAGAATGGGGGAAACAAACCACATTTCCCCCTGCACCACAGAAAGGACACTGTTCTTGTAAGAATCAGGTCTACTTCCAAGAGGCAGTGGAAATGGGGCCTCTTCGGTATGTTGCTCTGAGTCCAGGACGGCCCAGGCTAAGCAGGCTCTGAGGCTTGGCTCAAGGACTCATCTAAGGACTTCCTTTGCCCTGAGTCTGGATTTCCCACCACGCCCGGATTAGATTCGCTTATGATTTAGAACTTAGGATTTCCAGAACATTTCAGTAAACCTTAGTGATGGAAGCTGGGGGAGGCAGGAACTTTACAGACATGTACATGAATGCTGGTTATAACCGAGGCATCAATTCTTCAACCTGTGATCGACCACTTGAATTCCCAGGGCTACCCACTTGGCCCCCAAACCAGCATTCTCTTACCAACTGCGTGCTTCCTGTCATGATTGTTCAAGTTGTTCAAATTGTTTACTTCTACTTTGGAGTCTTCGATTAAGGTGCCAGGGCTGGTGACCCCTGGGATATTGGGCAGATGGCAGGGCGGGGTCTGAGCCATGGGAGAATTGCGACGATCCAACAGAAACTTCCGATCATAAATGATTCGGGTTCCTGGAAAACAGGATTGAAGAGTCTGAAATCAATTAAGGAGCTATGAACATATATTACCCGAGAATTTATTTTAAATTCCATCTAAACCTAACCTGAGGGTTCACAGTTCAAGCAAAAAGGACAAGTTCTACTCTCCTTGCCTGGGACCAGGCTCCTTGCCAGAGGAGTGCCTTTTCCTCTTCTGCTCATCTTTAAGGCTCATTCCCAGCATCATTTCCTTTACAGAAAAAATTTAAAAAAAAAAAAATCTTTCCCCCATCTGACTCAATACACATCACCTCTTGTAGGAACCCGTTTATCGATCTGCCTCTCCTCTAAAGATTGTGACTTGCTTATGCCGGGCCTGTGTCTTCTTTCTATATGACTTTGGTTCTACCATTTAGAAAGTTTTAAATGAAGAAATAAACAAGTGAAAAAAATCACCAACAGACAGCTGCCTTTAAGTTAAAGGCTTTCCAAAGGCACAGAGACCAACCAACATTCTTCCCCGACAGAGTTGTGGGAGAAGTTGGACTGGGCAGCCCTTCTTTATTTTATGAAAAGATCTGCATACCTTAAGTGCTACCAGAGTGTTTTGCAACAATCCTTCTAAAGAGTGCATTGGACTTGATGAACAGTTAAGAAAACCTGCTACTTCTTCTGTCATGGCTGGCCAAAGTTATGAATTACTATAAATAAGATATAAGACTAAGTGACAGGTTAAAGATGCTTGATGTTGGCTTAATGTAGTGGATGCCTGGGGATCTACTATTGAACCTAGAGTACAGCTGGCTCAGTGATACAGAATGTGGCCACCATTCAGTGACGTCTGCTGAACGAGGGAGAAGAGGGAATGGTTGCCCAACACACTTGCCACCCCTGCCTACAAACAAAGCAAAGTGGTCAGGTGGAGGCATCTTGCCCAAACTAAGCTTAAAACCGGAGGAGGGGGATCCCTGGGTGGCGCAGCGGTTTAGCGCCTGCCTTTGGCCCAGGGCGCGATCCTGGAGACTCAGGATCGAATCCCACGTCGGGCTCCCGGTGCATGGAGCCTGCTTCTCCCTCTGCCTATGTCTCTGCCTCTCTCTCTCTCTCTGTGTGACTATCATAAATAAATTTAAAAATAAAATAAAATAAAATAAAATAAACCGGAGGAGGGAAAGATTCAGGCAACTAAGTTAAAAACAGTATTATATGAAAACTAGATTGTGTACAAAGTTACCCATTTAAAGAGGTAGATAGTATCTGCTGGTCAATGCTTGTCGATTCTCAAGTGAAAATATTCCTGTCATAATGAGTCTGGTTCAGGCAGATTTTCTCAAATACCATGTGACAGCTACATCCCAGGAAATGGAAAAACAAATAAAAACAGCTAATAAATCTACCTGAAATGAGTGGAAGCAGGTGGAAAAAAGCAAGGCATCTACTGCAAGAGGAATGGAAATTCTGGAGTCTTCCAGAAGAAGGAAGGAGATGAATATTTAAAGAGATGATACCAATATTCTGCTAAATAGCTGGGAAGTAGAATTACAAGCTCAGTGTTTTCTTGGGATTCCTATCTGCAGTGGTACCATGACACTTTCATGCAAATGCTAGTAAGTTATTTCTTTTTAACTAGATGGAAAATAAGCGTCAAACTAGTGACTCCTAGGTGAGAAAATGGCCAAGAGACTCTACCCTCCAAATTGCCCCTGCCCCCATCCTTGCTTTTACAACCAGAATCAAGTGCTAAACACACTCTTCTCTCTATACTACAAAACCTGTCACGGGAAAGAATGACTCAGTGTCTCAAAATGGAAGAAATGTTCTCAGGGGGGCATCCTCAAAACACAACCCTTAAGGTTTCAAACCAACTCTAAACGTTATCAATTTTCCCCTTTACTATCTAGTTCTGTTACAGCTACACTGCATACACAATCATATTTACAATTTATAAGAGGTGAAAATAAAGTATCTGGCTCTCAGCCTCTCCAAGATAGAGTACTATGAAAAATGCTGTGCCATATTTGGAACCTATCACAACACTATTTCTTGCAGGGATCTGCATCTGAATCCTCTGGAAAGCTTGTTTTAAAATGTCCTATCTGAATCAAAATCCCTGGGATTAGAACCTGGAAATCTATATTTTTAAGTTCCTTGGGCCATTCTCCTGTTCATTAAAAAGTGAAGAATCCAACTTCAGGGCCGTCTGGCTGGCTCAGGGGATGGAGCATGTGACTCTTGGGTCTAGGGGTTGTGACTGCGAGCCCTGCACTGGGGTGTAGAGATTACTTAAAAATAAAATCTTAAACAAAAACAAAAACAACCTGACTTCAATCTTCTACCAAAAGCCTAGTAATAGTCCATCTGAAAATAGGCAAAATATCAAAGAATTAGTGAGAGAACAAGGGAAGGGGCTACCGGGGTCACCTTGACAGATGAAGCAGACACCCAGAAAGTAACTGAATAGAGCTCACAGAGCAAAGCAGAGGCAAAATCAGAACACAGGAGCCCCTGGTCTCCAGACTCCCAGTGTTGCCCTCTCTCTACTCTGCCTCAGTCCCCAGGGACATCCACACCAGGGGCACGTTGTCTGACGCCAAAGGACTGGGCAGGTAACTGTCACTTCCACATCAACACCATAGTGAAGGGCAATTTTCATCCAGAGGCCACCTTGCTGGCCCTGGAGCAGTGCACTCCCAGAGGAAAGCGGTGAGATGGCGGTGCTATTCCTGGTCCTCGGGAGTGTTACAGAATTGGGGAGAGGTGGTTTCTGTTTCTTGGTTTTCCAGTTCACCAAGGCCCAAGGACTTACTTATGTATCTGACAAAGTAGTCATCCCTTCATTTTTGCATATGTAGCAGAAATACGCAATTCTCAGAATTACGTGAGTAGATAGGTCCTGTAATGTAAGTTCGTTTCAGAGCAGCAGGGGGGCCTCCCAGACTACTGGTAGTAAAAGGGGATGTTGGAGGATAATCTCTGAAGGACAGCGTGGCACAAACCTGGGCAGCAGCTCTAATTAAGTTCTTTCATTTTTCCGCCTAGGGGAGAAAGGTAAAGGCTGAGAACTTCACAGACGAAGTCTCTGGGTCCTAGAGCTAGAATTAGCTTCCTTATTTTTACTTGTAGAGTGACAGAGGCAAAGGCCCACAGCCTGTCTGTGACAGGACTCACACCATAAACCTCACCTTGGCAGAGCAGTTCTGTGTGCCTCCCTCCAGCCCCTGGAGAGCACTTGGAAAAGTTGGAAATCCTTCACTCCCAGTTGAAAGAAGCCACAAGTCTTACATCCTGTCTCAAATATTATTTTAGGACAAGGAGAGTACAAAATTTTCTTTGCCTTCTTTACTTTGAAAAATAAGAACTAGAGCGACAACTTTAAAAAAGTGTCTGGAAATTATGATGAAGGTGTCATTTTGGACAGCAGAAAACTTAGTTCAACTTCCAAAAAGTGAAGAATGTGAATTATTTTGGATGGAAAATTTTCTTGTACAGACTTAAAACTTTTTACTTTATTTTTATTTTTTTAAAGATTTTATTTATTTATTCACGAGAGACAGAGAGAGAGAGAGAGAGAGAGAGAGAGAGAGAGAGAGAGGCAGAGACACACAGACAGAGGGAGGAGAAGCAGGTTCCATGCAGGGAGCCTGGTGCAGGACTCAATCCTGGACCCCAGGATCACGACCCGAGCCAAAGGCAGACAGACACTCAATCACTGAGCCACCCAGGTGTCCCACTTTTTTACCACTTTAAACAGAAAACAATCCAACCCTTTCTTGATGAACTGGGGCTACTATTATAAAGATCACTCTATAAACTGCTGTGGCTGATGAAGTCTTGGAGCCTAGGCTCTACATTTTCCTTCTACTGGACAGGATTCAAAGAACCTGCACTTGCCCCTTCCCTCATTCATAGTTTCTTCCCTCACTATTAGGCTTAAGAACCCCCCTTTCTTCCAAGTCTCACTCAGCTTGGGCTGCTACAACAAAATAGCATAGACAGGGTGGCTTAAACAGAATGTATTTTCTCAGTTCTTGAGAAGTCCTAGACCAAGATGACAGTGTGGTCTGTTTCTGCTGAGAGCTCTCTTCAGGGTGTATACACAGTCACATTTTCAATATGTCCTTACATGCAGCAGGATAGGGGAGCAAGCTCCCTGGTGCTTTTTTTTTTTTTACAAGGGTACTAATCCCTCATGAGGGCCTCACGCCCTCATCTAAACCTAATTACATCCCAAGGCCCCATCTGCAAATATCAACACATTGGTGGTTAGGGCTTCGATTTAGGAACTTGGGGATGGAGATGGGGCACAATTCACTTATCCTAACCCGATGCTCCTAACCTTGTAGGGACTCCGAAATCACTGATACACTTATTAGAACACCATGTAAAATAAAAGCAGACGGGCTGAGAAAGGGGCCTGATGGCTTTCCAAGGAACCAAGGGAAGAAGCTTTAGTGGATGGACTTTGCATATTTGCTGTGTCACCACCACTTTTGTTCATGGCTAGGTTTCAAGAGTGAAGTTTCACTGTCAGATGTTCTTAAACTAACATTCAACTTGCAAGTCAGAACAAGATTATTCTTCTGCAGGATGTCAAGCTTGGAACTCTGGGGATGAGACGGTAAAAAAAAAAAAAAGCATAGGATAAAAGCAAGCTTTCTATGTCTAAATTATATATTAGCAATAGCATATGCATTAAAGAACTGTAATTGGACCAACTAGGAAATAAGCAGTAGAGTGCCCACTTAAATATGTGAGGTATAAGAGAAACTCTGAAGAACCTCTATGACTCTGCAGAAACGATAAAATACATATTTTTACAGCTTTGCTGAGATATAATTTACAGAGCTGCGCAAACATCACCACGATCAACTTTAGAACACCACAACTATCCAAAAGATAACCCATCTGTATTGAGCAGTCCCTTCCCGTTGTCCTACAACCCCTGTAGCCCTAGGCAACCACTGTTTTCTGTCTAAAGATTTGCCTATTCTGGACATCTCATATAAACAGAATCATACGTGATCTTTTGACTG